GAAGAAGAAGAGCAGGAACAAATACAAGGAGAAGAACGAGAAGGAAAAGGCAGCGAAGCGAAGGAAGGAACTGCAGGCGCTGCAACAACAACAACAGCAGCAGGATGAAGATGAAGATGACGATTATGTTGACGATGATGTGATGGCTATGGGAGGTGCTGGCAGCGGTGAACAGCAAAGCGGTGACAACGGCAGTGATGGCGCTGAGGAGATGCTGCCGATGGACGACAGCGAAGACAACAATGATGACGATGGTGGTGATGAGGAGGAGGAGGATAACCTGGGCATCCCTGCGTCGCTGTTTCTGAACCCGGCTGATGATCTGATCAAGAAGTCGAAACGGGAGGAAGTGAAGCGCAGGAAGGACGAGGACGCACACACCCTGCAGCAGCTCGGTAGGCGTGGCGGTGGCGGTGCATTGGAGAGGGGGGGGGATAGCGTAGATGTGGGGCGTTGTCGCCCACAAAGCACACAAGCTCTCACGGAAAGAGCACAAGTTAACACACTGTGGCTTTCGTCACATTGTCTCACTCCAACATCAACTTCCCGTGATTTTTTCTCAAATCCTTACCGTGTCCCTCCCTCCCCCACCTCTCGTCATCTGCAGACACGCTTGATGCTGACCAGAATGCTGCCGAGATGGAGGCGATTGCACACGAGGGGCCGCCCGTCAAGCGCCAGACGTACATCCTCTCCGCCACCCTCCTCTACACCGCACAGCAGTTCAGGGTGCGCGCACACGTGATGATGATGATGCTGGTGGTGGCGGTGGTGGTGGTGGTTGACGATGTTGTTGTTGTTGTTGTTGTTGTTGTTGTTGTTGTTGTTGTTGTTGTTGTTGTTGTTGTTGTTGTTGTTGTTGTTGTTGTTGTTGTTGTTGTTGTTGTTGTTGTTGTTGTTGTTGTTGTTGTGGTGGTGGTGTTGTTGTTTAAGTTGTTGTTGTTGGTGTTGGTGTTGGACGGGATGACATGACCCATCGCTCGCGCGTGTATGCTTCCATTTATTTTTCTCACATTGACACAACAATCACCACACTTGTTGCGCGTGCGTGTGTGTGTGTGTGCATGTGTGCGTGTGTGTACAGAAGCGGCGCAAGAATCCGCAGCAGGACGCCGTATCCCGCATTGTCAAACTGTGCGGCCTCAGAAGCAAATACAAGCAGGTACACGTCGCAGTGTGATTGAATGGCTGTGTGGACGTGTGTGTGTGTGTGTGTACGTGAATGTGAATGTGTGCATAATACGCTTCTGTGCACATGCGTGCGCACGGTGAAGCAATTCGCAGCATCATTTGGCATTGTTCGCCTCACACAACCCCTGAAACACACACACGCACACACACGCACACACATACACACACATACACACACACGCACACACACGCACACACACACACATACACATACGTGTATACACACACCTCCCCCCCCCAACAAAACAACAATCCACGGTGCAGGTTGACCTGGTTGGCCGGCGCGTGGAGGTGACGTCCAAGCTGTCGGAATCGCGTATCCTGTGCACGACCGAGGAGAAGGATGTGTATCTGTACTACTTTGTGCACCGCCACCCGGGCCGCACGATTGTGTTTGTCAACTCCATTGACAATGTGCATCGCATTGTGAACCTCTTCCGCCTCCTCAACGCCACCAACGTCTGGGGGCTCCACTCCAAAATGCAGCAGAGGTGTGCGTGCGTCTATGTGTGTGTGTGTGTGTGCGTGTGCGTGTGTGCCTGTGTTTTGTTTAATGTGTGCGTCTATGTGTGTGTGTGTGCCTGTGTGTGTGCGTGTGTGTGTGCATAGCATAACCTCACTCAACCCTCCACCTCTGTCATCACAATCACCACCACCACCGCGACAATCACGCCAGGAAACGGCTGACGAACCTCGAGCGGTTCCGTGCGTCACCATCCTCTGTTCTCATCGCCACCGATGTCGCTGCTCGCGGTCTCGATATCCCCGTCAGTTTTGCACACACGCGCGCACAGAGGAGTCACATGTGCATGGGTGAACAGATGCATGCACGCACAGGCGAACATATGCACATGAATGACAAGGGCAGCATGCCTCAGGCTCTTACACTCGAATCCGCATCTACCGGCGACAGCTAATCATCATCACCATCATCACCACCACCATCACCATTGTCAGGATGTCGACCATGTGCTCCACTATCAGCTGCCGCGGGAGACGGACAAGTACGTGCACCGCTCCGGCCGCACCGCCCGCGCCGACAAGGAGGGGCTCTCTGTCGTTCTGCAGGTGGGCGGACGCGCAAGGGTGCTGGTGGTGGTGGTGGTGGTGGTGGTGGTGGTGGTGTGTGTGGGTGTGTGTGTGGGTGTGTGTGTGTGTGTGGGTGGGTGTGTATGTGTGTGTGTGTATGTGTGTGTGTGTGTGTGTGTGTGTAGTTTCGTGTTTGTGCCTTGCTGTCTCACACGCGTTTATCTCCAACAATAAGCACAACCCCACTTCATCCTTGCTGTACCCCAACTTCATCGCCTCACTCTCCTCCGCCTTCACCATACTCATCCTGATATGTTCGCGTGTGCGCATGTCAAAGGGTCCACAAGATACGCCCATCTACAAGGCCATCATCCAAGAACTCAACAGGTGACAGGCTGCAGAAGGGTGCTTTGTGACTGTTTTGCTGGTGCCAGTGAATGAAGCTGTGTCCAACACACACACACGCACACACAACACAACACACAACACACAACACACCAACATCGCCAGCCACTGATTCGAAACACACACTCATGTCCGCCATCGTCGCCATGACCAGGGCTGAGGAGCTGCCTCGGTTTGAGGTTGACCTGCACCTCCTCCCCGGCATCCGCAAACTTGTCTCCAAGGCAAAGACCATCATCAAGCTTGAGCGCGCCCTCAACAAGGTGCCGCGATGGTCACAGTGGTGGTGGACGTGATGGTGGTGGACGTGAAGACGGTTGTGGTAGCGATGTTGGTTTGCGTGCGTGTCTGTGTCTGTTTGTTGGCCACTATGTTTGCTTATCGCCCAACGAACTCCATATCCCCTCAATACACACACACACACTCACTCACTCACTCACTCACTCACTCACTCACTCACTCACTCACTCACTCACTCACTCACTCACTCACTCACTCACTCACTCACTCACTCACTCACTCACTCACTCACTCACTCACTCACTCACTCACTCACTCACTAACTCACACAAACACACTCACACTCACACAAACACACACATACTCACTCACTCACACACACAAAATACCATCACAAACCAACAGCCCAAGTCGAAGAATGCGTCTGTCCTCAAGGCGGCGCGGGAGGCGGATCTGGAGGTGGACGACTCGCTGCTGATGGCGGAGGCCGCGTCCACCGATCACACCCGCATCCGCCTCGCCACACTCAAGGTGACAACGGCGGCAGTGTGTTTGTTTGTATGTGTGCGTGTGTGTGTGTCTGTGTGTCTGTGTGTCTGTGTGTGTGTGTGTGTGTGTGTCTGTCTGTCTGTCTGTCTGCCTGTGTGTCTGTATGTGTCTGTGTGTGCACTTTTGTTGGCTTGTCTTCATTGGCACAGGTGCGTGACTGTGTGCAGCCGGCTCTGCCTGTGCCATGAGATGGCTTCAGTCAACCCCCCCCCCTTACACCGTTGCTCATTGCCCTGCCATCATCACCACTGTCACTTGCCAGGCTGAGCTTGCGTCTCTGCTTCAGCACCCCATCTCTGCTGTTGCTTCCGGTCGCAAATACACGGCGCAGGGTGATCGCTCACACGCCATTCTTGGTGAGAACACTCGTTCGTTGTGCATGTGCTTGTGTGTGCTAGTGTGTGCGCCTGTCTCTACCTCTCTGTCCCTCTGTCTCTCTGTCCTTCTCTCTGTTTCTCTGTCCCCTCTCTCTCTCTATCTCTCTGTCCCTCTCTGTCCCTCTGTCTCTCTGTCTCTCTGTCTCTCTGTCCCTCTCTGTCTCTCTGTTCCCGCCCGTCCATCCGTGTCTCCGTGTCTGCCCGCTTTTCCTGTCTCATATCACCTCACAATCACGCCACCACCCCTTGCTCCCCGTCCTTTCTTTCTCCACACACCAGAGCCCGACAAGCACTCGGCCCTCAGCAAGGTCCGTGGGAGCAAGCGCCGCGCAAACAAGAAGCGCCGCCGCTGACGTGGTTGGTCCACGCAGTTCCACTGATGATGCTGATTGATGCTAAGGTCTTGGTGTGTGGATGTGCAATGTGGTGGGTGGAGTTTGTGTCTGGCGAAGCTTGTGGCGATTGTGGAAATTTAGGTCATATCTTCCATTAAACATCCGCAAAACAAGGCAGCGATTGGCTGCTGCCAAACAAACATCAACAACCAACCAGTCCAGTCAACACAACATGGCTCAGCTTGACTTTGTCGCGGTTGTGGCCGCTGTTGTGTTGCTCATGGGCGCGCATGGGACCGGTGCACAACACAGCAATGGTGGTGGAGGTGGTGAACGCCGCACAGGCGAAGAACCGGTGATCACCACGGACGATGCGGGAAATTTGATGCTGGAGAGCGGGTGGAACGGAAGGGTATTTGTTGGAGGCGTTGACGTGATGGCCAAGCTGCAAGCGATCGAGGACCAGCTGGCCGCAACCCGCGCATGTGCTGCTGAAGGAAAGCTGTGGCTTGGAGAGCGCTGCGTCTCTGCTGTTCCTGGCCTTGATCCCTGGAACCCTGCCAGCACCTGCGAAGAGGTACGAAAATGCGTGTGTGTGTGTTTGTGTGTGTGTGTGTGGATGGGTGGGTGTGTGTTTGTGTGTGTGTGTGTGTGTGTGTGTGTGTGTGTGTGTGTGTGTGTGTGTGTGTGTGTGTGTGTGTGTGTGTGTGTGTGTGTGTGTGTGTGTGTGGGTGGGTGTGTGTGTGTGGGTGTGGGTGTGGGTGTGGGTGTGGATGGGTGGGTGTGTTTGCGTTTGTACAAGTGTGCTGCTATCATTCCGTTCTTGCTGCTGTGATTCCGTTCCTGCGTTCCTCTCGCTTGCGTGACTTACAACTCAACTCATCTGCTTCCACACGTACTGCTTACTGCTACCTCAGCTGCGGCTTCGTGGATTCTTGTCGGGAGAATACTATGTCGGCGGCTCATCTCCGGCACCTCGCGTCATGTGCAACATGACCACCGTACCAGCGACAAACTATGGCGGCAACGGCCTCTCTGCTGCAACCGCGGGCGTGTCATGCCTCTCCATCAAACAACAGTAAGCACAGTGCGTGCGTGTGTGTATTTGTGTGTGTGTGTGCGTATGTGTGTATGTGTGCGTACTTGTGTGCACGTTGTCGATGTGTATGTGCTTGCTTGACCACTCAATGCAACTGCTTGTCATGTTGCTATTTGGGTCAATTCGCCTTCCATCACGCCTCTGGTTCACGATCTCACATGGCAGCATGTCATCTCCATTTTGCCGCAGTCATCCTCCTCTTGACAATGGAACCTACTGGGTTACCATCAATGGCTCAACACCCTTTCAGGTGTGTGTGTGTGTATGTCTGTGTGTGTATGTGTGTTTGTGTGTGTGTGTGTGTGTGTGTGTGTGTGTGTGTGGTGTGTTTGACATGACCCGTCCATCCAGGCAGACATTGCCAGTCCGTCTAGGTGGGGGCAAGCACCCCCGGGCAGTGGGCAATATTAGCGGTAAGTTGTGCCACCTACGGCTAATACCTCCCAAATAACCGTAACTACTGCATTGCATTCAAAAAAGGCCACCATTTCAGTCCCGTCGGGATAAGCGACATACGACGAGGACGGTTAGCGGACGCCTCACGCTTTTTTTAAGGGCACGACATGTTTCCGGCTCATTTGTCCCACAGTACAGCTGCCAGATAATGAATCACATCCCTCGCTAATGCTACCTTGTGGGTGCATGCCAGGCCAAGGTCTCCCGTCTAGTCGGGGGCGGGACATCAAGCTGGCTGGGTTTCGTTATTGCCCCTAGGGAAGCGTTAGGTGATCCTACCCAACCGACCGTGCGGCAACACTATTATCGACTTCCTCCGGAAAACCTAGCTGATTCGGAGCTGTTTAGCCCTGGACTGATATGGCCATAATCTGGACGACTTTAGCATCCCCCACCAATTAAGGATTATCCTGTGTGTGTAGTGTGTGTTGTTGTGTGTGTGTGTGTGTGTGTGTGTGTGTGTGTGTGGAGTGTGCAGCGTCCATCATCGATCGCGCAATACATGCGACTTCCACAGCTCACAAGTTACCGTGCGACGTGTTTCCTTCCTCGTTTTCCTCCCTCATCATCACCACTATCACGACTTCGTTGTAGGTCACCTGTGTCAACGACGGATCGATTGAGTTGGAGGTGCAGGGCAGCGAGTTTTCATCCACAGGGTGGATCTTCTCCTTTGATGACCCGTCAAACTTCTTCAAGTGTAACTGCACGGCTGCTCTCAGCCGTCTGCAGGTGCGCACTCTGTGTGTGTGTGTGTGTGTGTGTGTGTGTGTATGTGTGTGTGTGTGTGTGTATGTGCCTGTGTGCGTGTGCTTGTATGTCTGTGTGTCTGTGTGCTTTTGTCTGCGCGTGTGTCTGTGCCTGTGTGTCTGTGTGTCTGTGTGTGTGTGTGTCTGTGTGCATTCTGTGTGTGTGTGTGTGTCTGTGTGCATTCTGTGTGTCTGTGAGTGATGACTTGACTTTGTCCGACCAGTTTGCGGCTGTCTGCCTATCCGTCTCTCGGCTGCTGTCCGTCCGTCTGTATGTCATGCACATATCTTTTTATCCATTCCTCACTCCTCTATCTCTCGCGCCTCTGCGTGTATCATCCCCCCAAAACACACACACACACACACACACACACACACACACACACACACACACACACACACACACACACACACACACACACACACACACACACACACACACACACACACCACCGCCTGCAGAACCTGACCGGCAACTGGTACACGGGCACAATCCCACCGACAACTCTGACAAGGGAGTGCGAGGCGTACTTTGACATTGACTACCGGTCCGCTGGGCAGACGCTCACGCCGCAACAAGTCACAGCCATCGCATCCCTCTCAAAGGACAGGGACAACAGAAATTTTGACGTGAGGGAGAGTGTGTTTGCGTGTTTGCGTGTTTGCGTGTGTGTGTGTGTGTGTGTGTGTGTGTGTGTGTGTGTGTGTGTGTGTGTGTGTGTGTGTGTGTGTGTGTGTGTGTGTGTGTGTGTGTGTGTGTGTGTGTGTGTATTTTCGTGCGTGCGTGCGTGCGTGCGTGCGTGCGTGTTTATGTGTGTTTGCAAGAGAGAAAGACAACAGACACCGAGGTGCATGCCATTGCTTTGTGAACAACATAGTATTGTTGGCACGAACAGCCACGCGACGTGCGTACACTTCCTCACCATTCACACACCCACGCAACATGCGTACATACGCACACGCTTGCATACCTTCACAGGTGTACACGACGTCGTGCGACGATGACAACAACGTCGCGCCGCTTGGGCATTGGATCGGTGTGGAGACGGCTGATGGCAGCGGCAACTTCACCATCCAGGATTGCTCGAGTGGCGATGGCGGCCTGACGCGACCCGACCCCACCGTTGCCAACGGCATCAACATCGGCTGTTGTGATCACGCCGTCACAGACACGTTCGCCTCCTTCCCGTTCCCGCTGCACGCGTGTGCGTCCATCAACACGGGCGGTGGTGTCGCGCTCTCCTTCAGCGCGCGCACGCTCCGCATCAAGGAGAACCCTTAACCCCATAACATAACCAACCTTGTCGTTGTCTGTCTGTGTCTGTGGTCTGTGCTTGTGGTCTGTGTCTGTGTCTGAGGTCTATGTGAGCGTGTGTGTTTTTTTTGTGTCGTGCACTCTGACCATAAACAACCCCACAACACATCACGACACTTGCAGCCCTTGCAACACTCGTGAGCTGCAATTTGCAAAGGACTAGTCCCACACCGAAGAGCGATTATGTTGCTGAGTGTGCGCTCCTTCTTCTGTTGTCTTGCTGTCTGCGCAGTGCTGCGCGCTGCAACGTTCGGACCGCAGCGTGTGAGTGGGCAGGTGGTGTTTGAAGAGGATGTGTCGGGGAGGCTGCTGATGAACACGAGCGATTCTGCCAACGAACACATCGTGTTCAATGGCATGCACACGCAGGAGCTGTACGACACGGTCCGCATGCAGCAGAGCGTCATCGAGCAAGCAGAAGCGGCCATCGTCCAGATTCAGCGCAAGAACATGGCCCAGGCGTCACACATCCAGCTGCTGGAGGACCGTTTGTGCCGCCTCAACGCATACCCACCAACAAGCACATTCATCTCTCTCCCTGACACATCAGGGAGCAACACAGGAGCGTGGACCTCCGGTGTCCTCGCCAACAACGGTCTCATCTACGCCATCTCAAACCAGGCAACCTTCATCCTCATCATCGACCCCGAGACAAACACCATTGACGACACTACGCTCTCCGGCCTCGGCGAAATCATGTCTGACTGGCAGGGCGCTGTGCTTGGAGGCAACGGGCTCATCTACGCGCTTCCCTTCAACTCCAGATCCATCATGGTCATCAACCCGGCAACCAACACGGTCGACACTGCGGCAATTGGCGGCTTCCCCGCAGAGTCGGGAAAGTGGCACGGGGGCGTGCTTGCAAGCAGGACAAATGGCGGCATCTACGGTATCCCGTGGCAATCCACTTCGGTCCTCATCATTGATCCAGGCACTAATGCCACAGACATGACCACCATCTCCGGCCTTTCTTCTGCAGGTTTCAAGTGGCTTGCAGGCGCCGAAGCGAACAATGGCAAGCTCTACATGCTTCCGTTTGGTGCGGCGAGTGTGCTCATCGTCAATCCAGTGGATAACACTTTCGACACAGACAGCATCTCCGGCCTGCCAGCCTCTGCCAGGTTTAGTGGCGCTGTACTGGCAGACAACGGCAAGATCTACGGCATCCCCGTACCACACGACAGCGTTCTCGTCATCAACCCAAACGACGACTCCACAACAACTATCGCCGTGCCATTCGGAGCCTCAAAGTGGTTTGGCGGCGTGCTCGTGCCGGATGGTCGCATATTTGGCATCCCGTATGATGCCAGCAGTGCCCTCATCATCGATCCAACGACAGACACGGTCGACTACACATCCTTCACGGACTTCCCCGCTGGCGACATGAAGTGGCGGGGTGGTGTGCTTGCAGGCAACGGCATCATCTACGGCATTCCTTACAGCATCGACAGTGTGCTACTCATTGACCCCGGCTGCTGGCTTCCTTGAATGTGTGTGTGTGTGTGTGTGTGTGTGTGTGTGTGTGTGTGTGTGTGTGTGTGTGTGTGTGTGTGTGTGTGTGTGTGTTTCTTGCTTGTCCAACACCGCTATTGTCTTGTGTGACATGAACCTTTTCAACTCAAAAGTAAACCGTGGGTTTGACCGCCAACTCACCCCTCTCGTCCGATGACAATTCCCAAGGAACGACAGCACTTGCGAGAAGCCAGATGGCGGGACAGTGACATTGTCCTTAGCTGGTGCTTGGACACAAACAAACGATTATCTTGGATATCATTGCACAGGTGCTCATATCGACACACAAGAAAAGACAGAAAGACAGTCAACCGAAGCATACGGGGACGACATCGCAGCACAGCGAAACAGGTGAATAAACAAACGATCGCATATGAAGGAAGCGGATGAGGTAGAGAGAGAGAGAGAGAGAGAGAGAGAGAGAGAGGAAGACGAAAAAGGAAGTGGTATTGATTGACGGGAGAGGTGGGGAAGGGAATAGCCAACGTGAAGCAAGCACAGTGACACGAGTGACATGACGAGACACAGAAAGAAAGACAGAAAGCACGACACAGCTCGCAAGACAAGGGGCACGGTCAGGCAGAGGCCGAATCAAGGCAAATTCAAAGACACGACAGCAGCAAGCCGCGTGCAGCAAGTCGCGCGCAGCGATGGAGGGATCAACCTTGCTTGCGCTCGCCAAGCAATTCTGCGACCTCAATCAGCTCCTGTTCAGTGAGTCGGCACCCGTCGCTTGTGATCCTGTCACGTGCAGCTCGCAAAATCCTCGCGTGCTCATTCTCTTCGGGGCTGACAAGGGCGGCCAGCCGATCGTAGACAATTCCTTCATACTCGGTTCGCTTGTTATCCCCTGTCAGCGCTTGCAGCCTGCGCTGTGATGGCGTTGTGCATGCGTCAGCGTGGGCGCACTCCGGCAAAACCTGGCGCACAAAGGCGGCCGTCAGTTGTTCCTTGCGCACGCGCTGGCGGTGCATGTTTGCGAGCTCAAAGAACCCTGGGTCAGCCTTGGTGAAGGCGTAGACAACACATGTCATGACCACCGCCCGGTAACTCCGGCGCAGGATGGCCGAGGCATTCTCTGGCAGCACGATACGGCTGAGTTCATCGACATGAGCGTTGATGGCGTCGCGACGAACCTGTTCCGTGTCTTTCTTCTTTGCGCGCCGCCGCTTCAGCCGTTCCTGCTTTTGTTGCTGTTCGAGAGATGCTGGCTGCTGCTGTTCAAGAGATGCTTGCTGCTGCTGTTCGAGAGATGCTTGCTGTGGCACGGACGTCTGGTCGCGTTGCCCATGCTGCCCAGCCTGCGTCGCAGCCTGTACCAACATCGGCTGGACTGCTTGGAAAGGAGGGGCAGGGGCTGTGTAGGCCCGAGCAGCAGCAACAGCCAACTGTTGCTGGTGCTGTTGCTGCTGCTGTTGTTGCTGCTGCTGCTGCCGTTGCTGCTGTGCAAGATACACCTGCTGTGCAAACGAGAGACTGAGGTGCGCGCGCTTGCGAGCTGGGCGCCCGTCGTCATGAAGAAGACGCTCTTGGCCCTGCTGGAAGACAGACTGCTGGTGGTGCCGATGTTGTTGTTGTTGTTGTTGGTAGTGGTGGTGTTGGTGGTGTTGAACAGAGTCCTGCTGCACATGAACGTGGTGGACATGGTGGTGGTGGACGTGCACATGGTTCGCCTGCTGGTGTTGGCCGTTGCTGCTGTGGCCGAGTAGCTGTTGCACGTGCTGCACTTGTTGCACTTGCACACGCTGCGTCTGCTGGCGCTGAGTGTGGTGATCAGGGCGTTGGTACTGGGTCACATCGTTGTGCACATGCTGCATCTGCTGGCTGTTGCGGCCTTGCTGCTGATGCTGGTGGTTCCTGGTATCCATGCGAGCCATCTCCTGACGCACCTGATGCATCTGTTGCATCTGCACATGCTGCATCTCTTGGTGTGGGTGGTGTTCAGGGCGTTGGTGCTGGGTCATATCGATCAGCGGCACTTCCAGCATCTGCGACTCCTGCTGCTGCTGCTGTTGGTTGGTGTGGCCGTGCTGCTGTTGCTGGTGGTTCCTGGTATCGATGTGAGCCATCTCCTGACGCACCTGACGCACCTGATGCATCTGCACATGCTGCACCTCTTGGTGTGGGTGGTGGTTAGGGCGTTGGTGCTGGGTCATATCGATCAGCGGCACTTCCAGCATCTGTGACTCCTGCTGCTGCATCTGCTGGTTGGTGTGGTCTTGCTGCTGGTGCTGGTGGTTCCTGGTATCGATGTGAGCCATCTCCTGACGCACCTGACGCACCTGATGCATCTGCACATGCTGCACCTCTTGGTGTGGGTGGTGGTTAGGGCGTTTGTGCTGGGTCATATCGATCAGCGGCACTTCCAGCATCTGTGACTCCTGCTGCTGCTGCTGCTGTTGGTTGGTGTGGTCTTGCTGCTGGTGCTGGTGGTTCCTGGTATCGATGCGAGCCATCTCCTGACGCACCTGACGCACCTGATGCATCTGCACATGCTGCACCTCTTGGTGTGGGTGGTGGTTAGGGCGTTGGTGCTGGGTCATATCGATCAGCGGCACTTCCAGCATCTGTGACTCCTGCTGCTGCTGCTGTTGGTTAGCGTGGCCTTGCTGCTGATGCTGCTGCATCTGCTTGTTGGTGTGGCCTTGCTGCTGGTGCTGGAGAGGTGGGGTTGCGCGGTGCTGGGGTTCGTAATCATTGTAGCCACCATCATCGTCATCGCTGCCGGTGATCGGTGGAAGGTCGACAAACAGCTCGAAACTGTCGTCCAGGGATGCATCAAGCAGTGGTCCCTGGAGCTCAAACGTATTGTGTGGAGACCACAGAGGCAGGGGCAGGTCAAAGAAGTTTGTTGGAGGTGGCACGCTGCTCAGGTTGGCAGGCAGCGGATATGTGAGTGACGGCAGCGACGGCAGTAGGGAAGCGCCGTCGTCACCCTGGTCGGGCGAAGAGCGGGTGGGCGTTGTTGCAACGACACTGGCCTGCACGGCGGAGTACATCAGGGCCCTCAACGGAGAGCTGATGGGGCTGGCGAAGCCGTCGCAAAACAGATTCAGATGGAGGATGCTGCTGCTGCTGCTGCTGCTGCTGCTGCTCGCTTGGCGTGCTGGCATGCTGGCAGCGTTGGCTTGACCGGCAGCACTGAAAATGCTGTCAGGCTGCATCGTCACACAGCCTGGAGTGGCTGAGGGGATCATGCTCTCATCCATCGTGACAGGGAATCACGCTGGCGCGGGGTCTAAAGTCACGAACAACGAGCGTAAGCAGAGGCGACACGTGAGAATCAGACGTATGTGTTTGTGTGTTTGTGCGTGTGTGTGTGCGTGTGTGTGTGTGTGTGTGTGTGCGTATATGTGTGTGTGTGCGTGTGTGTGCGCGCGTGTGTGTGTGTGTGCGTATGTGTTTGTTTGTGTGTGTGTGTGTGTGTGATTGTGCGTGTGTGTATGCGTGTGTGCGTGTGTGTGCAAGTGGGCCTATGCGAGGGAGCGCAAGCCAACACATGCATATGCGCTACACCAAGACGACAAAACAAGATGAATGTCACACAGAGCTTCTGAACACGCACACACACACACACACACATACAGATGAAAAAAGCACGCACGTGTGCTGTCAAGGGTGGTGGCGGTGAGAGCTGGGCGAGATGCGAGGGCGAAAAAGCAGACTGGTGGATCACCTGAAACCCCCCAAAAGGTGAAGATGGCTGGGTGTGAGCGGTGACGGAGGGGGCACGCTTGCCACGCAGGCAGCGATGATGGTTGCACACGGCAATTGGATGCAGTGAACATGCAGCCACAGCACAAGGGCACAACAGCCTTACTCTGTTGGTGGGGCAGGTTGACGGGGCACTGGCAACACGCGTCGTTGTCGGCAGCGTTTTTCGGCTGTCAAATTTGACTGAAAAGTGGCGCGCAACGGAAGCGTGCAAAGTGCAACGCAGTTGCGTTGTTGAAATCCTCCCTAACGACCGGAATGAGTTGCAAGTTGGTGCGCAGAAAAATAGTCACCTGTGTGAGTGATTCGATGGGCAAGTGAGTGTGTGATTCGGTGAGGGTGTGTGTATGTGTGTGTATGTGTGTGTGTGTGTGTGCAATGATGTTTGTGTCAGTGTGTATGTGTGTGTGTGTGTGTTGGACACGAAGAAAGAACAACATACGGACCCAGGACGCAATGCTCCGGAAAGGGAGGAAGACAAGCGAGCGAGAACACACACACACACACACACATACACACACATACACACACACACACACGCACACACACACACCTTGCTTGGGGTGTCATTTTGCCGGTGTCTTCCCCAATTGCCCCAGACCAGCGTCGCTGCAGAGCAGATATGAAGACGTCAGTGGTGGCTGAACCGCTGTCATCATCTTCCTCGTGCTCACATCGAGTTTGGTTTCTCCCTCACCACACAAACACAAAGACGTGCGTGCATCTACGTGCAAACGCAGGCGCAACGATACTCACGGTGTGCTGGGCACAAGGATGCTGGGCTGTGCCAAGAGCTGGCGCGGCCTTTGCACCGGCACTGTCAGCCGTCCATTGGCGTTGTCGTCAGCAGTGGCAGTGAGGCCAACAGTGTTGGCGGAAGAGATGTCAGTGAACAGCAGCATCAGCATCAACATCAACATCAACATCAACATCAACAGCCATGCCATATGAGCACGCGAGAGAACGGGAGTGGGAAACAATGCGTGGGTTATCCACCCACTGGAAACATGGCGCATGTTGTCAGCGAAACAGCAGCAGCAACAGCAGGGAGAATGCGGCTCACGTCATTGCGAGGTTGGGTGTCTTCATCGCGCTCCTTCCAACTGGTTGGGTGTTCGATGATGGGTGATAGGGACGAGGAAAATGGCGATGAAGGCCGTAAATGAGGAGTGCAAGTGTTCAAAACACACTGCCTCTCCGCACTGCTATCCATGGCTGTGAGTGTGCGCAAATCCTATCCTTGTCTCACTCACACACACACACACACACACACACACACACACACACACTCTCTCTCTCTCTCTCTCTCTCTCTCTCTCTCTCTCTCTCTCTCTCTCTCTCTCTCTCTCTCTCTCTCTCTCTCTCTCTCTCTCTCTCTCTCTCTCTCTGTGTGTCTCTGTCTCTCACGCACGCACACACACACTTCCCCCCCCCCTTTCTCTCCACCGCCAAACTGATTGCCACCTCCTTTCCCTCCTCTCCGTGTAACCCCTCCTCTTCTTCATCACCCACCACCAACTACCCCAGCGCCCTCCCTAATCCTATCCTCTTCCCTTCAACCTTTCACTAACGCCCTTACGCCCGCTCACGTCTCATCTCCTTTTCCCTCAACTCACACTCCCACACTCACACACACTCACACACATACGCATGCGCGCACCCCAATCACTCACACGCTCACACGCTCTCTGCTCCTTGTCCTCTCACATTCACACACACACACACACATGCACACTCTTCACTGCTTCGCTTGCCTTCTTCTTCGACAACAGGTGCCCCTTGGGCAGCAGCTGCGCCAGGATGGCGTCCGCGAACGTCCTGCCCAACTGACGGCCCAGGTGCAGCACAGGTGCGCATACATCAGCCAGGACACGACAACCATCAGTTGCCGCGAAACGCCCTGGATGCGCCGCGAGATGGAGACGCAGGTTCAGTTACCGCCAAACGCCCTGGATGCGCCGCGAGATGGAGATGCAGGTGCAGCAGGATCGCATTGACCAAGATGTTGCGCATCTCCTCCACCAGCAGCAACAGTGGCACTGGCAGCAACAGCAGCAACAGCAACAACAGCAGCACTGGCACTGGCAGCAAAGCGTGGCGTGGGTGCAGCGGGAGGTGGTGCGCCATTGCACGCGCATTCGCCAATCAGCACCAGGTACGGCACCTGCTTGTGGCACGCAAACAAACAAACAAACACAAACACGCACGCACGCATACATACATGTGAGCATGATGGTGCCTGAAGGACACACAACACGAATGAGAGGTGACGGCAAACCAACCCAGCCATTCCACTCATCACAATCAATCACACTACTGCCGCGCATGCTCACCTCTCGCTGTGTCACCCCGTGTGCCTCCATCGTGCTTGAGCAGCAGCAGCATGATGGCCACGACTTCTGCCACCATCGCAACCGCCGCCGCCATCGTCACAGGCACCACCCGCGGACCCGTCCGTCCTTCGCCTCCATGCACCCGGTCATGGCCCAGGCCTTGAGCGGCATGCGCGAGATGTGGTCGCCATGGCACCAGCACCAGCAGGAGGAGGACACGCGCGGTCACAATGACGACACGGCGCTGCTGCTGTTGGAGGAGAACATGGTGCCAGGACCCAGCCAGCCACGGAGCATCCCTTGGACATGATGACGATGATGATGATGATGACACCGCAACACCAGCAGCCGTATGTAGAGGCAGTGCACGGCCCGTGGTGCACAGACAACGTTGATGGCGGTGGGTACGAGGCCGATGAGGAAGACGAAGACGTCAGCGACGACAGCGATGATGATGAAGAGGAGGAGGAGCAGCAGCAGCAGCAGCAGCAGCAGGGGACGAAAGAGGAGGGGCAGAAGTGCTGGGATCATGGCTGCCATTCCCTGCCTATTGCCTGTTGCCTGCTGGCAGTGGCGTTTGTGTTGTCCCTCCAAATGGGTTCATTTGCGTGCGCATGGTTGCTGTGTTGGTTGTTGCCTCTGATGAGGTGTGGTTGTGGCTACAAGCGCACCTTGCACCAATGTTAGTGCTGGTTGATAGGTTGATGGGCTGATGGGTTGATGGGTTGATGGTGCCCTTGGAGCTGTCTTTCGTTGATGGTTGTGTTCCTCTGTCCACGCTGCTTCGGTTGGTCTGTGGCGCCGTGTATTGTGGTTTTAGGTGATTGTTCACAGCAGAGTTTTCGTCGCTTTGCTGCTTTGCTGCTTCTGTTGGTGTACATCGTGGTGGCGTGTGCTGGTGGCCAGTGGAGCCGTTGGCTTGGGCGTGGTGCTGCCATCTTCCGCAGCTGCTGTGTGCCTGTGAATAATACAAACATGCCAACAACAGGGCCCGCGAGTGGTCGTGAAACATGAGCATTCAAAGGAACAGGTGTTGGGATCGGGCAAACCAAACACGCATGCACGTGCACATGTATACGCGCAAGAACTCAAGCAAATGGCTGCGCACAGGCTGAGACGCGCACACGCTCACACGCATACACACACGCACACACACGCACCGGCACTGCCGCTTTCCACAGGTGTCGCCTTCATCTGCACTGTCACCGTAATCGAAGGTGGCTCCTCTGAAGATCCCACTGGATACGTCCATTGCACAGCAGATGATGTGTCTTGTCACACGCGCTACCGCCACCAGCATCGCTGCAGCCTTCGTCATGCCAGTCGTTTCAGGCAACCGCAACATCTCAACCTCCTCTTTTCATTGTCATCACCACCACCCATCATCGTCGTCGTCGTCGTCGTCGTTTGGCGCACTTTGAAGCGGCTCCCGACACCACAAATTTTTCAGCGCATGCGGCTGTCGATTTGGCATTCACCACTCAACGCTCTCACGTTGACAAAACCGCGACCATGAACGCCGCAGCTGCAACTATCGAGGATGGGCAGGTGAACGCGCCCCCGCACGTGCCAACGCCTGCCGTGAACACGTAAGCGGCAATCCGTGCATGCGCTGTTGCTTCGTCCACGAACAAGCGTTTCTGTGTGCGGATGTAGGATTTGGTCATCGTTGTGCAGCAGCTGTTGTTGTTGTTGTTGCGACTGTTGCGCATCTAAAAGCGCTTTCCCACACTGGCCGCTGTTGTGCATGCCCATCTGGTGTCCACATCACCGCCTGCTCACATGGCCATCTGCTTGCAGCACCAGGAACAAGCGGCGGTGGGATTCCAGTGATTCCAGAGACTCAAGCGACACCAGCAGCGACACCAGTGACACCAGCAGTGACACCAGCAGTGACACCAGCAGTGACTCGAGTCTGCATGTCACGCCCAATGTATGTGTGTGTGTGTGTGTATTTACGCCCAATGTATGTGTGTGTGTGTGTATGTATGTGTGTGTATTTACGTGCATGAGTGTAAGTGTGTGTGTGTGTGTGTGTGTGTGTGTGTGTGTGTGTGTGTCGATGAAAGATGACACTGAGAAACGACAACGACATCAAGTCCACGTCTCGCATTCTCAACAAATGTGAACGCCAACGACCACACGAACACACCACAAACTACATCCAGCCACACCCCAATCGCATGATCGCATGCACATCTGTGTCTCACATACCTTGCATTCGCGCTGTCGCCTCGCTAGCACACTTGCCGTCGCAGGCGCAAGAGGAAGTCCAGGCAGTCAAGAAAGAAGTCCAGGAAGTCCAGGAAGAAGCAGAAGAAGAAGAAGTCCAAGACGAAGAAGAAGAAGACGAAGGGCAGGCACCGGAGCGTGCAGAACAAGAAGCGCGCTGCCCTGCGTCATGCTGTTGCCGCCGAGTACAGCTCGTCCTCCAGCCGCGTCCACACCGCCGCCCCCATGCGCCTGCCTTGCCCCGCCGCTGTTAACCAGCACAATCTCATGCGGATGCCAATGCAAGCTCCAATGCAAGCGCCCATGCACATGCACGCTCCCAAGCAAGCACCGATGCCAATGCACGTGCCAATGCATGTGCCAATGCAAGCCAGCCGCGTCCACACGGCTGTCCCCATGCGACCACCTCCTCACTTCTCTGCCGGCACTGTCAACCAGCGCAATCCCATGCCGATGCCCATGCAAGCGCCAATGCCAGCGTCGTTGCAGGCGTCAATGTGCATGCCAATGGCAATGCAGGTGCAGGGGCACTTGTACGGCAGCACAAGTCACGCGGTCCGTGCAGGCTTCACTCCTGTCACCACAGCCACCCACAACACGAGCTCCAGTTACGTGCGTGCCGCCGCTGTCACTGCTAACCACACCAGCAACCACACCAGCTCAGCTTTCGTGCCAGCTCCCACAGCCAACCCTGGTTACGTGACTGCTGCTGTCGCCCCAGGCCCCATCACCGCCACCAGCATGACGACGACGTTCAACAAGAACGGGCGCAGTTCCAAGGGGATGAATGCGAGCGCTGGACAGCAGCTTGATCGCAGCAACGGCGCCGCCAAAGCCAAGGTCAGCCTGACACACACATGCACGCACATGCACACACGCACACACAAACACAGGGGTATGTGGTGTCAGTGTGAGCAAAGGTGCAACGAGGTCAAGTCTGCGCCCGCACACACACACACACATACACACACACAACAGCAAACACAACAAAACCCAAAGCACGTGTGCTGCACTCCACACTCACATCGCACCTGCTTGCGCGTGGATGTCACCAGGTTGGCCGTTCCTGCCACAAAGACGATGGTGGACAGCAGTGCAAGCACGTGCAGCCGGCACCACCACCAGCCACAACAGACGCCCTGCTCGAGATGGTGCTCGCTGGCAACCTTGGTGGCGGCGGTGCAGACTTCATGTCCACAGACGGCCATGCTGAGACAGCGACGATGCTTGAGCTCTTCGCAGCCGCGCTGGCAGAGTCACAGGGCACAGAGGCTGTCCCAGACCACCAACACCACCGGCCCAACACGCTTGTAGATGTGCACATGAGGAACGCACTGCTCGGCGATGCAGTGCGGTGCTCAAGCATGCGGCCGTGCATGATCGAGCTGAAGGCGCGGGCTGCCATGTGGATGATGAACGTGTTGCAGCACATGCCACCAAGCACCACCAGCAGGAACAACGACGACGGCGACAGCGCTGATGGTGGCGACGTGCTGGTGGTGTGAGGGAGAGTCGAAGCGAGGGGGGAGGGGGCGGTGACGTGTTGGCTGATGGTGCTGCTGGCGGTCGATGGCATTCCGTTGTGGTGGTTGGTGATTGCGATGAAGGGATCCGAGAGGTGTGCATGCACGATGGGGTGTGTTCGCATGCCACTTCCGGCGTTCTTGTGCCTGTTGCTTGATCGCACATGTCGCTTGTCCGTCACTGTCGTTGGTGTCGTAGTTATCGATGTCAACCGTTGCTGGTGCTGCTGCCGTGTGCGTGAATTGCGTGTGTGTTCGTGTGGATGTCGTGGTTCGGCTGCAGTGCTAGTACTGCGTCTGTGGGTGCGTGTGCTGCTGTTGTTTGCTGCCGAGGTTGATGACCTTCATCTCACTGATGATGCCACTGTTGTCGGTGCGATTGTTGCCATGACTATCACTGTGCTGCTTTGTGTCACTCCGCGTCTTTCCATTCAGCCAGTGGTGATTGTTGCAGGTGATTTGCTGCTTGTACATGTGTCATCGTGTCCGCATCTTCCAATGGACAACAATGTGTCAGAACACGTGCATTCAGGGGAGGCGGGGTGAGACGATGCAGAGAAGCGTGGCACAACGCAACAGTGCACACACACACACACACACAAACACACACACACACACACACACACACACACACACACACACACACACAAAGTTATGTGTAGGACTCAACCTCACCTGTTGAAATTGGAAAAGCGCTGAACAGCAGCAGGCACATTTCGCAATTGGAAAAGCGCTGAACAGCAGCAAGCACACATCGCTGTCCTCCTCGCCCACAACAACCATCCACACCACACACCGCCACCATGTAGGACGTGGCACAAGCGCTGCTTACAGGGCTTTTCAGCCACCCTCAATCAGAAGTCCTGCCACACACGTAAGGAGCAGTGGACAGCGTGGCTTGGGTGCTGGTGTGGCGTGCGCGTGTGAATGCTGCCTGCGGTTCACGATTGCAAGCGTTATGGCATCTCTTGGCTGTAGTGGGCGGGGCTGTTGGTCTCATCATCTCACCACCTGTCTCGCCCTCCACAACTCACACTGCTGCTGCTGTTGCTGTTGCTGCTGTTGCTGCTGCTGTCACATTCAGCTTGCACCACCACCTTCATCTCCATCACCCATCAGACACGAGTGCCAACAAGATCACGACGGCCACCAAGAAGTCGACGACGATGATGATGAAGGTGAAGGCGCCAGCGACGAAGAACGAGGCAGCGGCTCTGCTCCGGGCTGTTGCAGTAGAAAGGTGTTCGTCACACCACCAGCATCCCCATCATCGTCGTCATCAGCGTCACCAGCACCACGCCATCATGACAATGGTGATGATGGTGATGGTGGTGGTGGTGGTGGAAGGCATCCAGACAGCCGTCCAATACAGCGAAGCCATGACTGCCACCATTGGGCAGTAAGCACTCGCATCACTTCAAGCAAGCACGTCGCTGCCATCTTCGTCTTCGCTCTGGTGAGGTAACAAACAAACAAACAAACAAACAAACAGCATGCATGCACGCATGACGATGATGATGGTGATGATGGTGGGTGTTGTCAGGGAATGGCATGAGCAACAGGGGAAGGGAGTAGCGGTAATGAATGCTTTGATAGCAAAGCAGTGACTGGACGCGACAACACATACACACACGCACGCTGGTGTCAGCCACGCACACACACACACACACACATTCACACATGCATTCACACGTGTGTGCATACTCACGTCTCTCGCCTGCATGTGTGGTGCCATGATACGTGGTCTTCCCTGGTCGTCACCATCATCGCCATCATCAACCGCAACACCCATGACGCCGTATCAGCAAACTGTCACCATCTCATCTCTTCGCAATGACCGCAACACTGGCTGGGGCGGTGCTGGGACAGATGTTTGCTCTGCCATCACCACCATCACCACCACCATCATCACCATCACCAGCAGCATCAGTGAAGATAGACGGTGATGATGGTGATGGCGACCGCGCTCGTGTTGAGGTGGAGATGCAGCGGGTCATGCACTTCCAATGACGCAACCCAAAGCCACCGCCCCAATGGCAGTGACCGCCACCACCACCACTATCACCGCATGTGTAAACCATCAACGCGTGTGCTGTCATCGTCACAACACTGCAGCCATGAAAGCATCGATTCAAAGCACTCATGGCTCCACCCCTGTCCTCTTCCTAACAACTATCAGCCACACACACGCGCGCTGCTGCTGTTGTTGCTGTTGCTGCTGCTGCTGTCGTGAAAATACCTCTGCTCTCACACACATGTGCGCGTGTGCATGTCCTTGTCACCGGCCTAACCGCCACTGTGTCCCTGCGGTCACCACAATCGCGCTTGAGCATGTGTTGCTGCTGTCATGGTTGTTATGGTTCATGTCGCGAGCACTCGACTCCATCTTCGTCTCTTGCTGCTGCTGTTGGTGTATGTGGCGCTGTGTGCTGCCACGTGCGTTGCTGTCGTGGTTGAGTCATCAACACATCCACACGTTCGTGCTGTGGTCGCAGTGCCCGCTCCTGCTTCAACACACACACACGAACACACGCGCGAGAGAGTGTGAGTGAACATTGGCACATAGCCGGTGCACACACGTGTGAGCGGTTGAGAGAAAGCAAGTGCTGATTGCATGTGTGACTGTGTGTGTGTGTGTGTGTGTGTGTGTGTGTGTGTGTGCGTGTGTGACGGTGTGTGCATGTGTGCGTTGGTGTGTGTGACGGTGTACAAGTGCTCGAACCTTGCAACGGTGGCTCAAAGGATGAGGCTGTGGGTAAGTAAGCAGGTGGGTGCGTGTGGGTGCGTGTTTGTGCTCGCGTGTGCGAGCGTATGCCGGGGTTATTCACATTCCTATTTCCGATTCGATGCCAAAATCAAACAAGCAAACGAGTTTGAGCACATCAAAATCGCTGACGTTGCGCTACATGAAGGAATTTCACTGCCGTCATGTGTCGCAAACAGATGACGTGAACCCACCGACACACGAGAGCAGCGTGGACATTTGTGTGCGTTTCTGAAGAATGTGGATAAGCAATGGCATGGTGCTGCTGTCCTCACCTCGTCGTTGCTGGTGGTGGTGGATGTGGTCTGGTCACGTCGGTCATGTCATGGGTGCTCTTGATGTCCTGTCGTGGATCTTGAGTTTGAGGCGGAAACGATCGTAAGATCGCACGAGCACCCTTCCAGCCTTCCACCTCAGATGGGCCAAACACGCCTCACTCACGCCACGCTAGCGTACTGCTGCTGCTGCCATGGCTCCACGCTCAGCTCTCGTGCTGCCTCCCTGGTGCGCACAATCCGGCTATTCCACCATTATCCCTCGTCCACTGCTGCGGTTGTGGGATGAGGCTGTGGAGTGGCACCCGGTAGTAGTAGCGGCTGGCGGTGGAGGTGCGGCTGATGATGGCAGCGATTTGAAGATTGACGCCGTCCACGCGCGCGCACACACACACACACACAGCACGACGACAAGGCATGCTGTACGGCAATCGAATGTTGGTGAAAGGGGGAGAGGGCCGTGAGCAGGCGCATTGATGGTGTGAGCATATATGTGTGTACGTGTGTGTTGGTGAAAGCTTCAAGTTCAAATACCCGCTATCAACCACAGAAGCGCCCCAAGAAAGACACAACACAAACTATCAATCAACCAGCTTGTCATTGCAACACGTGAACGTTGCCACATCGCCAGCGTCCACCACCAATAACAGCACGACTCACCTGGCATACACTGTGTAGGAAGGCGTGGTGGCCGTCTGCAGTGCACAAGACACCAACCAGCGTGATGACCGCGGTGACGACTTGATGGGGGAGGATCAATGCTGCATTTTCGTCATTTCCCGGTCAGCGCAACATTAACGCATGACAGCGATTGCCAGTTGGCTGGAGGCGCTGTTTTGGGAGTGGATTGAGCCGGCATCATCACCTTCATCACCCTGACGATCGAACAAGCAAGTGTGTGAGGCCATGCACATGCGTGCGTGTGTGTCTGTGTGTGTGTGTGTGTTTGTGTTTGTGTGTGCATCTGTACGTGCGTGCGTACTATACTGGCTTTCTGTTTGGGTCAAGAGGAACAGAGAGAACACATGCATGATGGCACATTCACACACACACACACAAGACACTGACGAGTGGTTTCAGCGAGGTTGGAGGTCGCACCAATGACAAGAGGCCATGTCAGCCTGTGGCAGCCTCTGCACGCGCTCTGTGTGGCAGTACAGACGCTAATACAACAGCAACACTGAAACAACCACGGGCATCGCAGTTGCAGAGGCAAGGGTGAGGCTAAATTGCCACAGCACCATGTCCCGTCAACAAACATGCTTGCAAGCATGCAAGCAAGCATAGCATCGTGTCGCCTGTTCATGCTGCATGGCTTTTGATTGGGGTATTCTCACGAAAACACCCATGCCGCCAACGGCTATCAGTTCACACATCAAGCGCATCCACCGCCCAATCAGGGCTTCACGAGGGCCGCACCACACACGCACAACACACCCACACGCACACACGCACACACAAAACCACGCGCGCTCAGTCAAGCTTACCTGGAGAAGGCAAGCCTGGTTGGTTGGTTGCTGCATTCCTGCTCAATAGCCCGTGGTCTACTCTCAGCGACCGATTACACACGCACAATTCAAGACGGTGAGGCAGTGCACAGCACACGCTGCAAGCCGCTGCAGATGAATTGTGGATACGTGAGGCAGTGTGTGAGGAGCGGGATTCAGACGGCACAGAGCAAAGGGTTGGAAGCAGAACCCCCCTTGCATCATCAACGTCAAACTGCGTGTACCAAAGACAAAACCAAAAACAAGCGCTTGCTTGCCTGCATGGAGGCACATGTGAAGGCGGGGCAGGACAACAACACAGCACAAGACACGCACACATCCTGTGTGCATATCGAGCCGTGCAAGCAGGCAACCCGCAAACCCACAAAGAACTCACCCCTATTTCTTCTTGGTGCTTGAAGATGTCGTCATCTCTGCCGTGTGCCCATGCTGCCCTGCCATGCAACTGTCATCGTGTATGTTGCAGGGGGGGGAGAAGCTAGATGAGATGTGAGGTCAACAGCAACCAGAGCTCATCATTGTCGTGGATGGATGATGTAAACACGGCTGACATGCACATGCATGAACGCACACACACACACACACACCTGAAGCGAAGCAGTGGTGAGCAGAGAGCGCATGACCATACGTGCAAGTGCGATGATGCGCAGTGAGCACACGACCGTTGCTACTCTTCAACTTGCGACCACCAGTATACTTGAGATCATCACTCATGAGCAGCACTCACACTCGCTCTCTTCTCCACGGTTTCAGGATGTGTTCTCCTCTTCACTTCTGCTCATTCCAGTGCGCTTGCTGTGTGCTGAGGCCATCATAGTGTTGCCTTCCTCGTTCCCCATCTCTCCACACAAACACACACAAGCACGCACATGCGCACCAATCAACTACTACAGCACTGCTTTGCTTTTTGTGCGTGTGCTTCACAAGCTAGAGAAGAATGGGGAAGTTGGACTGAATTCAGTCCACACACACTCGCCTCCTCTTCCTTTCACCCTGCTCAAAAGTCGAGAACGTTGGCACTTCAGCAAGGCAGCTGCAGCTTCCTTCTGTTTGTTGAAGCCGAGCGAGCGAACAAGAAGCAAGCTGTGTCTCATGTCACTCAATACTTGCACTTTGTCTTGTCAGCTGTGTTTTTGTGCGAGCCGCTATGTAGGTGTGTAGTTGCGTTGCCTACACAAAGTAGGGGCAAACAAGCCAGCTGGCCTCTTGTCTTCTTGTGCACTTGCCGTCTGCATCACATCACTTCTTCTCTTCCGCAGTGCCTTTGCCTTCGGTCCATCCAGTTCTCTTCCAACAGCTACAACAAGAAAGTAGCACGTCAGCCCGTTCCGCCCCCTGCACTGCCCCTACCCCTCCCTCTGTTTCGTTTCGCTGCTAGCAGCTTCCTTTGATCTGTTGCCCATGTACCCCTTTCCTGGCCCCTCTCGCACAAAGGGGAGCAAGTGCGCTCTGCAGGTAACAGCACAATGCGTGACCACTCAAGCATTCATCTACTTCCATCACACAGCAAGATCACCTCCAAGCTGAAGGTAGCAGCGACTTTGGTGCACAGGCATCATCTCCACTGCGTGCGTGCAGCACAGCAGTCCTAATCAATCAGGATGCCCTGTTTTCGCAAACTGGCGCCAGTTTGTTGCTGGCGCCAGAAATGAACGCTTTCTGTCATTTCGACGATAAGAGAAGGATTTGCTCCGCAAAGGGTAATGTCGTCAGTCGGACATGCGTGCGTTTGCTTTCTCTCTCACCACACATAAACACACAATCAATTGCCTTGACAAGACAACAGGTCCGCGCGCAGACTCAGCGTCCACTGCTCTTATTCATCGAAGCACACCGCCTTCGACACGACCACAGCCATGCTGCGGAGATGTGACCAACAACAGCACGACATCGACAGCGACGCGGGGAGGGCAACGCACATGGATGAGGCAGTACAGGCAAGGAAATGGAATAATGACACTCAAGCAACACCAGCAGCATCAACACAAGCTGTCGACAATCAGCCTCCATCACAACAATAACAGCAGTCGACACAGCCGTCTTCGTTGTCACCGTTTCCATCACGCTCGACACGTACAGCTCAGCTCGGGCGCACAATTCAGCCACAGCCATGGTCACCAGCCGCTCCAGGTGCAGCAGTGTGTGCGCCAGCCACAACCACAGCCTCGACGTGCATGGATCCTGTCCCCTTCGTGCCATCGACAACAAGCACCAAGCCACAGCCCCCAAGGTCAAGTGCATCCTCGAAGCAGCTACATCTGTTGGCAGCATTCCTGGCAGCAGCAGCACCATCTCAGCAACAACAGCAACAACACCCACCAATGCAGTTGCATCAGAACCAAGCACTTCCCACCCCAACCGCTTCAGCAGCTACAGCGACGACAATGAGCGTGCATGCACTTGCACACCAACCAACCCATGTGCGCTTCTCTCCACCGCCACAGAACAGCACTGTGTACCGCGACCGTCCTGTCGATACCAACCATGCACGTTGGCTCGCAAAAGACGCCTCGACAACAGCAGCTACGACAGCAGCTACTGAGTGAAACACAGCAAGTGTCGACAAACCAGCACAAGCAAGGCCTGCCCGTTTGTCGACCGGCAGTGATAGCAGCAGAGAAGATTGCAGTTGGCTGAGACCATGACACCAGGCGAGCCGGCGGAGCACCGCCATGAATTCCACCACCACCACAACGGCCGCGAAGTGGAAGACGATGCTGTGGTCGCTCCATCATCACCGCACTGTCGTGGACTGATGCCCAGTACTCGCGACCTGCATGAGCAGGACACAGACAAGAAGCCGAGCCCCGCGCATGCAACTGCTCAACTTACACACGCATCACAGCAGCAGCAACATCAATGGCTGCAGCAGCAACAACAGCATGAACCAGTACAACAGCAGCAGGAGGATGAGATGCAGAAGGGTGGTGGTAGAGGCGGCAGGCTGCGTGGCTCAAACACCCCCTCGTTGGTGTTCCCTCCAAACTGCACACGCAAGGAAGCTGTCCCAAGCAAGGCCAGGAAGCAACCACGTGTCAGCAGACCCGCAAAGTCAAACAAGCCAACCGCAATTCGCAGGGAGGACCCAGCCATACGCCAGCTGATCCTCAAATGCCGAGAACGAGAACGCCAGAAGCAGCAGCAACAGGAACCACAACGGGCTCAACAGCAACGCGCAGGCAAGCACCGGGCAACGCGTGAGGCAACGGTGAATCGCCAACAACACCCTGCAAAGAGAAAGCAGCAAGTCGGCAAGGCAAGGACGAGGTTGTGTCCGGCGTTGCTCCAGGAAACAAGGATCCATTCGACAACAAGCGCTCAGGAGTAGCAGCAACAATTGCAGCAGCACGAAAAGAAGAGTAACATGCAGCAGCAGGAAGCAGCGGCAGCGGCAGCAGCCTTGTGGCGAAAGTGGCGGTGATGGTGATGGCAGCCATTTGGATACTGCGGGTGTGTGTGGGGTGCTATACGAGGCGCAATCATTCGAGATCACACCACAGACGACGATGAAGCTAATTGTGTGGTGACGATGATGATGGTTGATGAGAGTCCGAGAGCGTCACGGTCGCTGTGGTGAGGAGAGTCAGACGTGTGATGACTTGTGGGATGGACGCGCTTCAGTCTTGCCCTCGTGTGCCCATGTTCGTGCGCACCAGAATTGGGCATTGTCAGATGTTTGTTCAAGAGTTCAAGTGACAGTGCGGTGACAGCAATATGTCACACAACGAGTAAAGGCACGCGGAATTCACAACAGTGGTGAACCACATCACGTTGCATATTGTGTTGTCCTCAGAGCTACACGACATGCTCCTATTTCAACTCCGTCTCTGCTTGTATGCTGTGATACCCATTGCTTGGGAACTGTTTCCACATTCACCGTCTCCCAATACACAACCGCTCATCTCAAGCCCTTCTGCTTCCATCACACGAGTTCAGAGTACCGTGCCCTCACAACCGCTCATCTCAAGCCCTTCTGCTCCCATCCCACGAGTTCAGAGTACCGTGCCCTCAAAACCGATTCACAGTGCATACCATTTTACCACAGGTCATGCGCAGCGGAGGGTCGTACTCAACGACAAAGGATGCAAGAGGAAAGCAGGAACAGCGGTACCAACAAGGCGCCGCGCTCACACGCACGCTCACAGGGTTTGGGGTGTCGTGGCAGCCAGCCGCCAAGATAATGGGCACGCAGCATGAGGAAACAAGGAGCAAGCACCGATAGCGACAGCGCAATGGCAAGGAGGGTGGCGGTGGTGGTGGTGATCAGAACAAACATGAACAGCCGTCCAAATGACCCATACATGCCACATTGCTGCAGGTTACCGTGTCACTCCTCCACCACTGGCGGCTGGTTCACATGCACGCCGCTGCTTGTGACGTCAATCTCGCGACCGCACATGGCGCAGACACGGCGAGGGGGCGGCATGGCAAGGGTAAGCAGTTGCCTGTGGCCGGGGAAGGGGAAGACAGGTGGAGAAGGTATGCATGTGTGAGAGTGAATGAGTGTGTGCGTGTGTGTGCATTTATGTGTGTGCGTGTGCTTATGTCACCACTGTGTGTGTATGTGCGTGGTAACACTGACAACAACAGAATTGCAGTATCGCATGATGTGACCACGCCTTCACAACGTCATCACATCGTGCAATGGTGTCGATTCAGCTCGCAAGCATGGGGCCAAGGTGTGTGAGTGCACACACACGTACATACACACATACATACACACACATGTGTCAATCCCTTGATGGATACTCACAAGGCAGGTGTCGGCGATGGCTTCAAAGGTGGTGATCTTCGCTCTGTGTTTTTGTGTGCGTGTGCGCGTGTGCAGAAACTTGGTGAGCTCAGCAGTGGGGATGACGACAGTTGCGCAAGACACGAGCTCTGCTCGTGCCAAGGGACAGCAAGATGTTACCAGACAGCATGAATGCTTGAGCACGCCATGAAGTGAAAATAATTGTTGGGTGGATTCGAGGTTAAATTACTGTTGTCAAAACCAACGCTCACATCATCAACAGCGCAACGACACAAAGCAACGCCAGAACACACACACACACACACACACACACACACACACACACACACACTCTCTCTCTCTCTCTCTCTCTCTCTCTCA